TCCCTCATGCAATTCACAATTTTTATTGATGGCAATAAAGCCATGCTTATCATTATTCCAAGAAGCAGAACACAAATCTTTGAACTCTGGGTATGGTTTGTCTAGATTAACATGATCCTGATAAATTTACTTCAATTCCATTTCATCCTGACGAAAGAGAATGAGTCAATTTATATTATTACGTATCAAGTGTATTGGAATAGGTGCATAGGTCTGACAAACATAGAAGCAGTCTACACCTTGATGGCGACCCATGCCAAATAATACGCCCATATTATCCTGTATTTTATACGCGACATCACCAAGTATCATGAAAGAATTTGGATGAATTTCCTCAGGTCTGACCACCTCTTCGTGATCACTGAATGGAAAATAGCCAATAACTTTCACTGTTGCCAAGAATTTTTTCAAAAACTGATATTTTGGGTAATTTAAGGACTTGAAGTAAACATATACATTTTGAAATCTCACTCCATTGAAGTGGGTGATGAGAGCGAACAGGGCATTCGTTTTGCCGCAGTTTGAGGGCCCAGAGACAATGGAACGTACAGTATTGCATAAAAGTGGGCCGTGACGATTCTTTTGTTTATCTTTCTTTTTCTCGGTAATTTTATCGGAATTCAGCACTGGTAACTTCACACTTTGCTGCTTAAACCCCATCTTGACAACTGCTAGCAAGCTCCATAAATACACGACATTTCTAGACTTCTACTTCAGTCTGTACCAAATCATGGTGGTGTGCAAGAGTGTTAGGAACGCGGGAGGGTAGAGGAATTGTCAACGATATCATCAACAAGTTACCTATTGCATTGCATATACCGGGTTACCAGTACTGTGGACCGGGAACCAAGTTGGCTAGACGATTAGCACGGGGTGATCCTGGGATAAATTAATTAGACAAGGCGTGTAAAGAGCACAATATAGCATATTAAAAAAATAAAGAGAATTTCCCAGCTACTTACACCACTGATAGAATTCCGGGGGATAAAGCTCTGCACCGAAAGACACTAGTCTTGGTGAGAAGGCGGCTGCTTGGACTGTGAGTAACCGCATAAAGATGCAACGAATTCGGTATGGCGCTAAATATTAGTGCTACTACATCAGCTGTGGTGCTGGTGGTGGGAAGAACCGTAGAGGAGGAGGTGTGAAGAAGAAGATACCACGTCGACAGATTATACGAGCTGCCGGAGGCTCCATGCTGCCTGGACCCAATGCTGTGAAGAGTGCACGTAAAGATGCACGTGAAGCAGGTAAAAATGCTGGAGGGAGGAAAAAAATGTCTCCTACTCCTCGAGTTCTCCCCATCCCATCCAAAATTGGTGAAATTTTACCAGCATTTTTAATTCCACTATTTGCGGGACTCAGTGCAACAGGTGCTATAGCAGGTAGAGCTGCTGGTATAGCCAAAGCTATAACAGTTCTAAATGTGGGGATAATTTTTAAGCAAAAGTAAATCAAATGTATAACCCTGCTAAACTAACATTAGTTATTGATTCACCCTCACTGAATGCACTTAATTAATACACTTAATGGATACACCGAATTGATACACTTAATTGTAGTCATCTGGTGACGCCGTCTGGGGCAATCCCTGGCAACAGCGTTTCGGTCTTCAGACCCATTGAATACAGTCCGGGTCCCAGGACCAATCGTAAACCTGAAGTACAAAACTTCCGAAGTAAATATTAATTGGAATCTATGTAATGGACCTTAGCGGACGGGTTCGTTGATAGCGATAGATCATTCGTAGATAATTAGGAATGAATATCTTTCAGAGAGAATCAACTTCTTTAGTAATCAAACGATTTATTAAAATAAAGTCTTTGTATGATTCCGTAGTTATCAGACATTATAAGTTACAAGAAGGTGTGTGGCAAACTAACTAACTGACCCAGAGGCAACGAATAAACGAGCTTATATTTCATCGTGGATTCGATTGCAACAAGCGTTTTCTCTTTGTTTTACACTTGCAGAGGCATCGGATGACGTCCCATGTGCCATAGCCGTTGATGGCGCGAAGTGCCGACACTGCACCACAGTGATCCACATTATGACGAATATACGCGGGCTCAATCCACAAATATTAGGGTTCATTTATACTTTAAAATTAGCATTCTCTGCTTCGACATTATATGTTTTGTATAAGATATGCCACTTCGCGTGTCCTCATATTATGTAGATCAATGAGAAATTACTTAATCCAACTTCATAATTAATTATATTTCTGGGGCATAACACCAATAATAAACTCGAGCTATGTTAATAAAAGTATCTCCCTTAGACAACACGCCCTGGGAAATCCCCGATACTAGATCAACATGCCAGAACCAGATTGAAAGAGAGGAAACGTCACAACCGCACCATGGAATTCATCGCTCTCGGAAAGGAAATATACATAAAACCATATAAATCTGGGTTGGGTTTACATTTGAATCTAAAAAACTTGTCAAACTACCACACCGAGACCTCACTCATGGTGATTCGTTGCGTTATCGCGAGGTGGACCTTGGAAATCTGAATGAGCTATAGTCAATCTTGATGGTGAAGATGGCGCCGGCACTCATTTGGTTGCCTTTAGAAGGAAGAATCATAAAGTCATCTAGTTCGACAGTTATGGCAATGTGCGTCCACCTCAAGAGCTGATTAATCACTTCGCTGACGGTAGTGTTGTAAAATATAATCCTATAAAATAATCAAGACTATGATACTATCATCTGTGGGCATTTATGTTTGAAATTTCTCGTTGTTAATTAATATAAAGCTACAAAAAAGTTCATAATTATATCTGATAAACGTTGACTATCATGAGTGATGCATTTACCTTGAGCCTGTCGGGCCGATCTTTAATACTTGAGGAATGCTATTTTCCACCCATTGAATTATCACCGAAGAAATTGTATAGTGTTGGGCTTTCCCATTTCTCAGGTACCATTTATTTCCTAATATCGACGAAGGATGTAATAAAGTTTACATTGAACAAGACGGATTGACAATAAAAGTGAATCGTTTTCGAAGTGGAATGACTATTCCACCTTAGTCTCCAAAAGATGATACGAGGCAACATAATAAGTCTAATAATTTGAAATTATCTTGCTTTTTTGGTTTTTACATCGAACGCTTACGACGCAGAACAAAAAGAAATTAATTGGTCCTTTTTTAACTGAATGTTTCCAATATAATTGAACTGGAACATCAAGTACTTTATTCAAATAGATAATAACTGATTGATAATAAGTAACAGTAACAGTAACAGTAATATGATAATAAAACAGACGTGAATCAATTTAATTTTTCAATAAAATCTCTTGAGGCTCAGTGAATGTCGAATGCTTTGCGTGTTTACCGATGTGCAGGTACGCATAAACATTGGTTGTGACCTCGCTGGGATCATGACATAGTGATGGAAAAGTTCATGTGAACAAGTGCAAAAGTCATTGACCTCATAAGGTGAGATGGTGGAGATCGAAGAAATTCAGAGTTGCGTGGATAAGAATTTATTGGAAAGTTGGTATAAACGATTTCTCAGAAAAAAAATTGACCGTTACCAATGTAAGCGCTTTTCTAGAAATCAATAATGCTTTCCACGAATACAATTTTAGATGAAACGAAATTTGGATAGACTGGTGGAGGGGATAAGGAGATATAAATCGCGAATTTTCAGGGAGCACTTTAGTTGTAATCATGGAGAACCTCTCACCAGAAGATATACGCTATTTGAATAGTACTCCGCCGTACTGTCCCGACTTTGAGGATATAGTGGAGAAGCATTACGGTGATGGTCCACCGGAAAATATCTGGAATGTCATCAAGTGATGTGCTGCTTTTGGAGAGGAATTATGCTGCTGTGAGAAAGAAGAATGAGGAAGATGCTTCAGATGACTCACTCCTGCCATTATCCATCCACATTGGGAAAAAACTGACTGTTATTCTCAACTGGATCGAAGAATTGATAGTGAGAGTGGATGATAATTTTGTGCGAGATCGTTGGGTCAGTTCATGGAGCAGTGGATTGAAGAGAAAAAGAGGGCCAAACCTGTATGAGAAAAATTCAGCAGCGCCTATGCTGGGCATTCTACATGAACTCAAAGTCGGTGTAAACATAATGTTTGAATCATTGAAAACCGAGGCAGACTCGGCTCTTGGTCGTGATGTTATTGATGAGAAATGAAAATATTTTCTTTTCCAATAATTATTGTTTATTTATTTATTTATTCAACTGAATGATTACATTTTTCTTGTTCAAATAAATTTCTTGACGCTGCCGGTGAGTAAGCTGTATTTGACAATTCGAACGTGTAAGATCAAGCAGTAGGCTGCGGTATTGGGATAGAAGATCTCTGATGATTCAAACTCCAGACGAATGTCCACAGGTCCGGATTTCAAGAACTCATTCTGCTTGGAGCAACCGATGACAATGAGTGGTGCTGTTTTCAAGAAGTCCGCTCTGCTGAATAGTGGTTCTGGCTTTTTATGGTAATAGGACGCTTGGAAGCTGGTGTATATATCGTAGAGTAGAGCGGATTGGTTGTGTGCAATATCCAAATTCAAATTTTCATAGGTATAAATTTGCGAATTCAAGAATAACTTGATTTCTCGAATATTAGAATGATCAAATGCACTTGCATCTTTCAGAAGCTGATTTTTTCTAGCTATTTGGAAACTGTCCAGACATGTTTCGTTGTTCTCGGCAGCAGAGGATACTCGTACAATTCCCAAGAGCGAAAGCTAATCGGCAACACCGTGTCTTTTGAAATCCGGTTTAATGTAGGGTAGCATGCAATCGATCCTGGAGATTGTGATTTTGAATTGTTCAGCCTGGGGTCCATCATTGGCTTGGAATATAGCATTAAAGTCACTGTCTGAACGTATTAGGATTAGCTTATGCTTTGCATTCACAACAATTCTCTGATAATCTTCAGCGAATCCTAAAATCATGCTCAAGGGAATGGATACATCAAAATATCCTGCCTCATCAGTTATTTTCTTCTCGCTGTCAATCCCCCAGCCCGCATTTTCCATGAGATATTTCTGGCTAGGACTCTGAGAGATGTAATTTTTCATTAATTAGTCGTCAAACAAACATTTATACACCTATCGATTTCCACAGAATTCAATTCATAGCGTATTTCTTCGAATAAATGACAGGCTGCATTATTCACAAGTTGTGTATTTGCAACGAGTGTATTATCAGCTTTCGTCAATCTACCACAAATGTGTAATGAACTTTTGAATGACAGTACATAGAGATCCTGGTGTTGTACGGAAATACAGATTTGGTCATTGTTGCTGAAGGAAGACGATGCAAATGGTTGGTGCGATCAAATCTCATAATGAGCAAGGGACTCAAAAAAGATTATCCGCTTCTGAATATTCAGGATCTCTTCCATGGCAGGTGACAGTAACAGCAGGCGATGAAGACACAGCGAACCTTCACTTTCCTCCTTTTCCACGAATTCTTCGTCCCAGAATCCGCAGGAACTTGACGTTCTGCGATGTCAGCTTCGTGAGATGCACTCGACGACTGTTCGCTTGCCGACATGAGTTCGTACTTTTATAACTGCAACCAACTTTTCCCCCCTCAAACACAATACCCATTATTAAATGAGCTCTTATATGGGGCCGTATTGTAATTACTTCGCTGCGGAAATTCACAGGGCGATCCTCTTGATCCACAATCCTGATCCACAATCCTGAGCATCCAGAATCATGACAGCTGCCGCTGCAAAGCGTGCGTGCGTGTGAGGCCACATCTCACGCGCCTCTTCCTCCCGTCCCACCAAACGCAGTTCAAGAGTCGAAGAACTCCCTCAACAATTGGTGAAGCCGGGCTTCCTAGAACCAAAAAATTATACATTAGTCAAAAAAAAATAAATAAATGTGTACAGAAGCACTTATCGTAATAGCTGACTTACCTTATTAGCATAAAAATTCTCGCCAAGGTACGCCATGAACTCGACGACCAAGTCCATGGGTATCTCGAGTCTGGCGATTAGGGGGAAGTATCAGAGGAGATTCTCCCCCAATTTTTCCACTTCCCCCAGTCACCATTCCTCCATTCTCCCATCGTCCTCCTCCCACTCCTGCCTCATTTCGGGATCCGGGAAAACGTACACTTCAAGTTTCACTAAAAAATAAGCCAAAAAATCATTATCACAAAATTTTTAAATCACGTTCAAATTCACACTGTCACAGCACTTACTTGTTGCGTCAATTCAACTCAACGTACTAAAGAAGCGAGACGTCAAGACAACGTTGGGCCTCTCGCCGCACCATCGCCACTCTTCCGCTATCGCTCTGTCACTCAGGCCTCCAAGCCTCCAAATGTTGTCTGTATCACTCTGGGTGTCTGGCGCGCAAACTCTGATTTATTCAATACATATATATGCATAGATATTTTGACGGAATAATATTACAGTCTTCAAAGCATAGATGATTACAGCGATATTTTCCAATTCGTCACTTGAACATTTTAATATTATAAATTTAAAAAATCATGAAGCGTAAGTAATAACATTTTTCACTGTTTAATTATCAGGTGGTAGAAGACACTTTTTCAAAATAATTTTCCCTCGGAAATTACAACTGAAACAGAGAAAAATGAAAGAAATTAATAATTTAGTTATTTAGATGTATTTTTATTTAGAATTAGCGGATTGATAAGACGGTAGAATTTTGTTATTAATTTACCTCTGAATAGATTTTAATATTGGTTGACCATCGCTTGGGATGTTTAAATGATCCCATTGGTCGAAAGAAAATATTCCCGTGAGGACAGAAGATCAGCTTGGCTCGAACTTCTCCCATTGTGACAAAAGATGCGCCAACTTTATAATGACTATTGATGATATCTCTCAGCTTCTTCTTCATAGCCCTTTCTGGCATCACACCTTCCCATTCTTCAGGTACCAAAATTCGAACAGGTTCCACATCATCATCTGAGTCATCTGCTGGTGGGCAGACAGTTTCCCCCACTCGAACAAATGGTTCTGTGTCATCCGCCGAATTACTTAGTGCAGTCTCAATATTCGCTGGAATCACTGGTGCTACCTCTGATATAGTAGAATCAGGTGGATCTATCTCCATTGAATCGGAGTCTTCCACAACCATCATCGAGCTGTCTGATGATGGGCTTGGAAGATCACCCAAACCTTTCCCCTCAGGTGGTGGACTCTCTGGAGACTCGGGGTCTGGGCTTGCTGGAGAGTCTACAATCTCCTTCTCCACAGGTGCTGAACTCTCTGGAGACTCGAGGTCCGGGCTTGCTGGAGAGTCTATAATCTCCTTCTCCACAGGTGCTGAACTCTCTGGCGAATCATCCACGTTTTTACCGACATTAGGTGAGATGGTGTCTGGATCTAATGGGGTAGGAGCATCCCAAGCATCATCATCATCACTGTCAGTAAAGCTTCCAATCTCTGACTCTCTATCTGAGAAGCTGATCGACTCAATTGCATCCCATCGCAAATCTCGCTTCATCCTCTTTGAAGTTTCCAACTTTTGAATAAATTGCCGAACTCTGGTGACTTCACAAGTTGAAATTCTATTGCTTGTTGGTTGGTCAGCCTCAACAGACATCACAGAATCAAATGAGCTCTGCTCTAGGAAGGAGATTCTTTATAAGCTATAAAGATCTTATTTACCCAGCGAGAGATCGCCCCTCCAATTACATTTCTTTTTTTTCATCATGCAGTTAGAGAACTTGGAATCCATAAAAATGTCAGCACCAGTCCATCTTAATGAATATTGTATTAATATTAAGAATACGTGACTGGGCGGGCGAGGTTCAATTGTATGAAAAAGTGTTTACTGCAAAATTCAACCGACAAAAATTCATAAAATTTTCATCGGTTTCGGCTTTCTCAGTTTCGAGAGGACATAGAGTCGGATAGGTATTTTTTAAACTAACATTATGAAAACGTGCGCAAGTTGGTGCCCCCACTCCCTCCAACATTCTGGAGATGTGCACACCATTCCCCCAAGCTATTCAGTGGGAGTTGATTGCTAGAGGATTGAGCAACATTCACAGTTACTCTTACAATAGAGCAGTTGTCATTGACACTGAAGGTTTCAAAAATTTTGGCACCTAATTTGTTGTGAAGGAATTTGCAATTTCCGCGCTAGAACTTGCTGGTGATGGAAAGTTCATGCCTGTGGCAGTTTTAGTGGATCCACCACATAAATGGGATGAATTGCTTCCCAAGTACAAAAAAGTCAATCAGTGGCTGTCACGTCACTACCATGGACTACATTGGGACACTTCAGGAGATATCAAATACGACACATTGAGTGAATATGTGAAGAATACTGTGAAAAATATTTCACACATTTACGTCCAAGGTGCGGAGCAGAAGAAATAGCTACAGCAAATTCTCAAGAATGAAGTACCAATTGAGGATTTCAATGATTTCGGCATGATATGGAGCCTCTGGAAGGTGAGGGTGTTTTGAAGTGTGTGTACCATTACAGTCTCTTTGATGGTAGTTCTACCCAGTACCATTGCCCCCTTGCACATGTACAACGTCTGAAAAAATGGTTCACCAAGTACAATGCAGGGTCTGAGAGAAATCCTTGAAGAAATATTGCGAAACTGAGCATTTGAATGCACTGACCACTCAGGAAATTGCATTCCCAGCGAAGCATTTCATCAAAACCATTGCCAAGGACACCGTGGATGCGGCTTGGGACAAGTTGCCTGAGGTGATGCGGAGGGATTCTAGTATCGCTAAGCTACGTTATTGCCACACGCATTGGTCTTCAATATCGACCTCATCATTCAATCTAATCCCCCCACCAATAGCTAAATGCCCTCTGTATCTCTATCATCGCTGCTAATACACTCGAAGTCACAGTATATTATTACTGAATAAAAAACACGTATGGATGTATTTGTGTATAATTCTATTGAAACCCATAGCTCGCCCCCTCCTCCACCACTCCAAAAAGATCAACATTTCAGCTCACATAAAAACATCTTTGTGAAATCTCATCAGTTGACCCTCGAATACCATCCATATGAGATATCATTCTTCTTGAATAGTCAAGTTGAAGTTTATTAAAAAATAAAATTCTTTCGAAAACTATCTTTCAAAAAGTCTGATGATAATCAATTTGAAATGTGGGACGAGTAATATCAATCATTTGAGGCTACTGCAGCAGCAGGGGACATGAGCACATTGTACCGGCGCCTTTTGGAAAATGTTCTGATACCTCTGGAATGGTTCATGCGACTACCGGTGCCTACACTGATTACCCATATAAGCCAAGCTATTCTACAATTTGATGGTCTCACTGCAGTCCATCTCTCACTCATTGGAGTTCGTATAATCGTTGTGAAAAACAACGATTTTTTTATATTCATGCAGAGATCTGCAGCTGAAGGAACTGAGTGTGGAACATCTCGAGATTGCAGCTCATGCGAGGGTGAGACTTCCCCTGAGTGTGGGTCACACAATGAGGGGGGAGATTCTGCAGATATCGAGCCGCTGGAGGAGATGGAAGCTGTGGCCATTGAAGTTCTCAGCTCATTTTTTAGTAGTAAAGTGTAAGCACTGAAAAAAATCGGATGAAGATGAGAGGGGCGGGGGGGGGGGATGACCAAGGAGTACTAGTCCAGAGGAAGGGATACTACACACCTCTGCTCTCAACAAAAAAATTCTAGATATCAGGAATCATTCAATCTTCATCTGAACAACAAAAATGGCATTCATCGTCGATTTGCAAGGATTCCAAAGGCAGGGAAAGTTTACTGTCAAAGAATTGAGTGCAGTGGCCCTGCAACAGTCACCAGACATTGAAGAATCTCCCCCCATCAACATCCTCTTTCAACCACCATGTGCCTGGAGTGATCTGGAGATGCAGGAAGCTGTAACCAACAAGTGACTTACTCGCAATCATAATAGAATGTTATGGAGTGCTGGTGACTGTGATTACATCAACATCAACAAAGTTTTTGGTAGTTTTCTACAGAATAGTCGGAAAATTTATGTGAAACGTTTAGAGACACAGCACTATGTGGAACAACTGCTTGGTGATTCCTACTTCGTTGTAAATTTGGAAGATTACAATTGTCCGAAGATCGACAATTGTTTCTTCAAAGAAACTGCCCACCCGCACACTCATCGACACATCAAGACAGCGCAAGAGTTAGTTTGTTGTACTTTAGTGAATGTGCGCCACTTGAAACTGTGACCTTGGCCGGGGAACTAAAATATAATAATTCAGGGCGAGGGCACGATATTGGGGAATTAATAATATTCTGAAAAATTAGGGAAACTTACCATAACTTAAGGGAGGATCGGAAATAATAAGAGGGAGGGGAGTTCTCAATAATTACTCGGGGTGATTTATAAATTGACTCTGTATTCTGATCTCATTACAACATATTAACATAACAAAAATCCGGGCCTTTTGACTAATAACTCGAGAGTGGGGGGTAAGGCCAACTCACTTGCGGCTACGCGAAATATGGTACAATAAAAAGAAGGGGTGACTCTAACTCTGGAAAAAAGGGGGAGAAGTGAGGGGGCCGACTGAAAAGGTAATAATTAATAGGAGCTTAATTTACAACTAAAATGAATTTACTGGAGGCCCACCGTTGGGGGGAAATTAGCACGGGGTAGTGAAATTCGTTGGGGCAGGGAATAAAAAATGGGGCACTCACGGGGAATGGTGTCTTCAAAATCCTCTCCGCTTTTCTCGGGGTCTCTCCTCCTTCCTTCCGTCTCCCGGCTCTCCTCGGATCCTCTCCATGAGATTCAGCCGTACAATCTTCCTCTCCCAAAATCTGTTCCTCCACACGAGATTCCTCTCAAAAGTTCTTCAACCGAAAATGTTCCTCGCAATAAAATCCTTTCCTGACAGTTCCACACAATATTTCTCTCTTTCTCAATAGTTCCTCTCACATACAAAATCGTGCACAATATCCTTCACTCTCTTCCTCCTTCACACGGTATTTCAGCCGGTTCTCTTCACAGGGTTTATTCCTTCTTAATTCTTTCTTGGGCAGTGACTGGTGGGGAAGCGGTGGCACGACTGACAGCTGCCAATCATTTTCACTTCTTCTTTCCTTATTTTTGGTTCTTCCTCGGTGACTGTAGGGGTAAGGGGAGCGGCCGGCGGGATGGCGAGGGGTAGTAGGGGCGGGGGCAAGTAATATCAGCGAATGGGTTGTCCAACGGCGGTACAACGATTAACTTAAATCTAACTTACTCTAAAAAAAAAGATTATATTAATTAGAGGGAAGGAGGGGGGGGGGGGCGAAAAATTCTCCCTCATCACAAAACAATGGCTCCAGACCACTCATCAAAAGTGTGAAAATAATGAAAATGATTTTAATAAACTTTTTAATTAGAAAATCAAACATGTTTTTTTTTAATTCAATTGTTTTCTGGTATTCTGTTCTTCGATGTACCTCATAAAATGTAAAAATATATGTACGCACATTCCAAAAATTGCCTCATGTTAATTTTTGCAAGCTCCACATCATCATTCAATATAAAAGTTATTATACGCCTGATGTTGTATCGTATCAGCTTTTCGATCCATGGAATAGTTATTCACTCCATTTCAAAACTACGCATCCAAGAGACCGAGTGTTTTGTTTATACCACGCGTACGTACTCACCGGTAAACACACGCGGCCACGTGAGCGGGAGACCAATTCGCGCTTCAATCTCAAAGAGAGAGAGAAGTACCAAGTATAAAATCATTTCTCAGATTGGATAAAAAAAAGATTCATCTTTCTCGTTATTAGCTTCTATTCATGATGGTTTTGAATGCGAAATTTCAAAATCGTGAATTAACTGTTGTTGTTGTTGTCATTATGATTATTGAGGTGGTATAAAGAAAAAGAAATTCATCGGCAATAGAACATCTGAAAGTTTTTGCCACTATGATTCTCAGCTATGCAATATTAGATATTAGACATTAGCCATCAGAAACAAGATATTAGACAGTAGACAGTAGACGTCACATGCTAGATATTAGATATCAGACATCATATGGTGGATATCCCCCCCCCCACAACCGGCCCAAAAGTTTGACGGCGGATATTACCATCGACGAGTCGATAAAGCAGAACCATTACCGATCGAGGGTCAAGAAGAAGACGACATTATCCTCCCCCGCTGCCTTAACCCGCCCCGCAACCGCCCTCAGATCCCTATGTCCAGAACCGGTATAGCTTATCTAGTCAGACCACTGATCTCTATATATCTGGATAGAGTATCCCTGTCCCCCCACTATACTCAAAGTGAAGTAAATTGAAGTATCAGCCAGCGCCGCTGCATACCAGTCAAGGTACTACGAACGACGTAAATACGCATGCGCACCACTAAGAGGGATGACGTAGTTGGCAATATGCCCCGGAAATATTTCCCGAGTCATAACTGTCTAGTCTTAGCGGCGCGCCAGTTGTATTTCAAAAAATTCCCCTGTGATCGAAGAGTGTACTTTTTCCCTCGGAAAAAATGCGGTGCTGCTATTGCAAAAAAATGAAGGAGAAAAATAAGGAGTTAACGTTTCATCAGTAAGTACATGATAATATTCGATTTATATGCACGTCAGATAATTGTCAATCACGTTTATTCTTTGGTATGCAACCTCATAATATAAAATTTTAATAATGTTTTTAATTTTCTTTCCAACTTAGATTTCCGAAGGATGAAAAGTTGGCGAAGATTTCTCCAATTTATACAATATATATATGTATACATATGAATACATTCAATATATATGTTATTAATTGTGCCCATAAAAGCCCCCTTAAAACATGCAGACACATTTTTCGCATAATCTATCTGGGAAAAGAATCGGGAAAGTTTCCAATTACTCTCGGTAATTATGAGTAAGTGCTCGCGCAGACAACTGTGCCACGCATGCGCAGTTGATAACATTTTAGTCCGATGACTGGTATTGGGAGGCGCTGCCTGACTTTCTATGCGACTCAGCGGTGGGCTATGGAGTCAGCTATCCAGTTATATAGAGATCAGTGCCAGTGGCCTTTTACCTCTGACACCTGAGGCGCCACTTGATGGACAGGTGTAATTTATCATCGCGATGATCGACACCTCCCACCATGCGGCTTATCACTCTCTCTCATTTGCATATCGTCGTTCGAGAGTGTTGACGTGTTTTTCGCAGAACTTCGCTTTCTCCATTAATTGATCCGCTCTTTATTAGTCATTCTCAGAATTAACTCAAAAGTTTTTCGACTTTTATTCAGTTCTTGCTCAGCTCTTTGTGACATTTGATTATAAGTGTAAACCAGTGACTTTTATTAATTAAATTGACTCCATTTGACCAACGCCACGCGAGTGATTATTTGATCCTCTAACGCATCACGCCGTAATCTACATAAATCTCGTCCGTTTCCTCAAAATATTCTCCAAACCAGATCCCCCTCTGAACACCACATAATTGCCAATTAATTACTTTTTCAATTCAGCTCGTTGAAAGATTCATTATAGGTTATTGTGAGTTCATTTATTCCAATTGAAGGTAATTGAATGGATGTTTTGCCCTACAATGAAAAAATAATTTATTTTCAAATGGACTGAATGAAAAAAAATTATTTTTGAATCATGTCGTGGTAACTAAATGTGCATGCGCTTTGCGCTGTGACCGACGCTTTCATACGCGCCCTGCCACACTCGAATCCAGGATCCGGCAATCTGGACTCATCGGGCTCACGCGGCTGCCGAGGTTCGTTAGTGAAATCTGGAAGAGGGGCCTCACCCACTTAACGAATCTACCTGCTCTAATTCGACTTTTCTCCCCCTTAAGCCATGGTTGGGCCGATACCGAGAGAAGGCGAGCGTGGAATCGAGCGGGAATTTTTAATTTTCCCTCCATTTAAAATGTAAGTATGATTTTTTAATGCGAAATACGTCGCAATATGAGGAAAAAATTATTTTCAATGCCTTCCGGAGGAGGAATCACCCTTAACCATTATTTTCGGTTCCGCCGTTATTTTTGTAGCAGTTCAATAAATAAAATAGATCAATTGTTCAAAGTTGTGAGATGCAGCGGATAACTTTACCGGGTAGTGTTTGCCCAATAATTTGAAAAAAAAGGTAGATAAATAATGGAGTTATTCGTATAAGTGATAGTCGTAATAATCGTTGTTGAGAAAATTAAAGATTAGTAAATTATCAAAGATTATGAAGTGATTACTTACTGTGAAATATCGAAGAACAGCCACCCCATCTCCCCAAGAGTGTTCAAAATTCAGTCCTGCATAACCTTTTCCATTAACAATCAATGAAATTGATTTATCAAACCATCGATTAACTCCATCGGAATGTAAAAATTCTCGAAGCAATGCATTGTGATCCTCATCTTCCATATCGTCGTCTATCGCTAAAATGAAACTTGCAGTATCGATTTTTTTTATTACTTCTTCATTCCCGAGGTTCAGTAAGTTCTGACGATTCTCAGCCCATTGATTCCGTTCTGTGGTTGTTAAAATCCCGATTGGGCATTCGTTAGGCTTTCGAGAATCATTCAAGATTGAATATACGCAGGAAGCAATATCAGAGGGACGACGAATGTGTCCGTTTTCGTTCAGAAGATTAAATGAATAGAAGTAACCTCTTCGCATTACTACCACATGTCTTGAATGAGGATCGTTACAGATTCTGTCTTTCCCACTTTCGGGCATTCTTGTAGTTCCAAACAGGTGTTTGAATTGAGACATATCAAGCGGGAAAGCCTAAAATTTCAAACATTTCAATGTTTTAGCTAGAAATTAAAAAGAAGACTTTAGTAATGCAATATTCCGCTGATTGCCCTATATAGGCCGTGTCGTACCATTTGGGCATTTTATAAATCATCCTAATAAGCTCTTGAAAAATGTTGTGAAAAAATAAAGATCTTATTTCCAAACGTTCAGAAGCGGTACTAATCAGAACATTCTGTACGAGTATTTTCCCGGAATATTTCATCCAAGCAAATTGGACCTTACGACAAATGCCCGTAACTGAAAAATTTTGTACGGTCTGACAAAACTAGCCCTCAGGGACCTTGCATCTACTGAAGATACTCAGCAGCTGCTGGACATTCCACATGCCAGGTCAGCTCAAGTTAAGATTAGTTAGGATGAGAGTGCCTGACTCATGGCTTGGGGCACATATTTTAGTATTATCTTTGCCCGGAAAGCCTTTCCAGGTCTTCCAAGGCGATCGTTTTACTTTTAGATATTGCTATCCAGGGCAAGGCCATCCTTGGCTGCAACTCTGCCAGGATCTGGGACGTTAAAAAGCTGAACTGACCCACGTGGTTATCTTCACATCCAATTTTAATATTTTCGCCGCAAATAGTTTTGGCCATAAAATAATAAAATTGATTTATTTCTTTATCCTGACGTACTGTATTGACTTTTAGAAGAACAATATCATATCACTCAAGTTCTTATAATCTTTCGAATTACAAGGCCTCTTTAACGGTATAATGATACCAAAATTATTTCTCACGGTTTAGATCAGAAAAAATAGCTCAGGAAAGATTGAGTAATAACATGCTCATTTATCGAAGATAAAAACAGAAAAATTTGAAAAAAAAAATTCCCAATCGGTTCATACTTTCGGGAATTACGCTCTTAAAAGAGGAAAAAATGAAAAAAAATCATAGCATGTTCCTGATATCGTCAAAAAATCTCAAAAAATTTAATAGTCATCTAATAATGTTGTCCCACATGGGAAAAAAATCGACGATACAATTGAAGGACGTAAGGGTATGAAACTTTAAATCTCGTTGAGTTCACGCAAAAGCCTATACGCATTGTAACGTGACATTTTCCTGTGGGGGTAAAAAATTCTGATTGCCTTTGCCTTACTTTCCCTAAATTTCATAAAAGGGCGCCAGGTAATTTTCTATTGAACTACCAAATTACTACTAAATTACCAAATTACCAAAGCGGCGGAGGCGGGGGGGAGACGGTCCTGAGTCGCTCAGTATGCTAGATTATGAGGAGAGAGGGTGGAAATGAGAAATTTGGGGTTCCAGAAACTTTGAATTTTGAAAAAAAAAAGTAGAAATTAAACCCTTAAAAATTATTCTAAATATATAAATAGTATTTATTTCATATACGAAATTGAGATCGAGAGAATGAATTATATACTGGAGTGAATCATCTGCCCCAAAAACACATAAAACTGAGGTTTTTTTTACCAAAACTCAACTAAAATGACGCGTGAATACCCTTTATTATTATCATCGGAATTCACCCACCAAGATTATCCACCAACGATAATCCGAAAAATGCCCTATTTTATTTTTAATGCATCAGGGAAATCAATACTTTCCCGGAATGGCCCACGAGAATAATCGGGTGAGCGAGAGATAGAAAGAAAAACTCGCAGATCGACCTCATGGCAAAAATCGTCTGCCGAAAACTCCAACCCCTCTCAAAATTCGATTACCCGAAATCCCCTAGAGAGATTTTGAAACGCCCTGAGCAACAATGCTCTGGCAATTATTCCCTGCAGCATTACAAATTTTTATTCATAAAAATTCCTAGTGCGCCACGTTAGGCTAATTATTGAAGAAAGAATAAAATTAGTGCCATAACATAAATCTGCGAGTTGGGGAGTGATTTCCAGCCGGAGAATACATAAACCCGGAACTTAAGAGAAGTTTTCCACTGTAAGTACGATAAATGTGTATATTGGGGGCCTCGCCTATTTCTAGTAGAAAAAAGCGAAAAAAAACGGAATTTCGCTACAATCCAATAAAAAACTGTTTTCGGAAGGTCGCAAAAGGTATTACAGTTGGAATTGGTGGTTGGTTCGTGTTTTTACACTAGTTTTAAGTGAAAAAATATCATAAGGTGAGGAAGTATTACCAAATACACCCAACCCACTAGGACCTTGTATTCATCAGAATAATAACAAGGCGATTAAAAGAGGACGAAATCAATAATTATAATCACAGAGGTAATACAAGTGCACCAAAGTGAACAGTTTACTGTACTCCAGTGAGCGGTGAACAAGACGGTCCTCGAGGTCCATGATTTGTGTTCGCACCAACTTCCATGGCTTCATATTGCTTGATATTTACGGCAGTGGCAACGAATTCACGAGGTTATATTTCATCGTGGATTCGATTGCAACAAGTGTTCTGTCTTTGTTTTACACCTGGAGAGACATCGGGTGACGACCCAGGTGTACGTAAAGGCCATAGCCGTTGATGGGGCGAAGTGCTGACACTGCACCCCAGTGATCCACATTATGACGAATATATGAGGACTTATTCCACAAATATTCGGGTTAGGTTATATTTCAACATTGTCTAATTCGACATTACATGTTTTTTTGATAATATGTGCCACTTCGCGTGTCCTCATATTATGAGAAATTACCCAGTACTATTTCTTATTTAATTGTATTTCTGGGGCATAACATCTCTCCCTGCCAGGGAAGAAAATTTCTGCACTAGGAATTTTCTATGCAACCCCGCAACACTGAAACCTCTTCAACCATATGTATTCCGCCTATATTTAACTCAAGGGGAAAACTGGATCCCTTCGGTAATACTGCTGTCTTGAGTAGGTTTACTAATTCTTGTTCCGTGAATATTTCTGTGCTCAACAACATTCCCGTAGAACCAGTTAGAAGTTTCTTTATCTTCGCAGCATCACTGATTACTTCGCTATATATGGCCTGTATGATCATGAAGTGCTCATCTATCAGTTGCCGATGCGCTAATTGTTCATTTTCGCTGTTGATCTCTGTAAGTGATTGGATCAATATATTTTCATTTCCATGAAACATGGCTTGTGTCCGGGCTAATTGGAGAAATGTGGAATTGACGATTTCCAGTTGTTTCCGGGAACTGGCCAATGACCCTTTTACTCCGCTTTCCAGATGCAAAAGTCTCTCATTGATTTCCTTGGTATCTTGAGCATCCATAGTCCCAATTAATGATTTTGCTACGGAAGCCAGACCGTCAATGAGTCTTCGGCGTTTCTTATTAATTTTCAAGCCAAGTAATTCATCAATGGTATCTGCTGTTTCCGTAAAACTAGCAATCCATTGATCCACGATGAGATCAAAATTTTGTCCCCATGGACCTGCTCTAAAGCAAAGAAGTTTTATGTAGTGTGACGTGCATCATTTTTTTTTTCGAGAGAGAGAGAGCCGCGCCCAACCGCGGATCCCACAAAAAGTGGAGAAGAAATTAAAATAATTAAACATTAAAATAAAATTTAAAAAATAGCTCCGCGCTCATCCCGGTTGAACCGGAGGCTACGCTAAGGCGGTTTAAAGTTTTAGGATTTTTCCCTGCTAATTCCGGAATTAGCAGGAGATTAGGGAATTTTAGGGGAATTTACGGTGGGAAAAATTACAAGGGTTATTCCCTGCCGAATCAGCCGGAGATTAGAGATTTATTAAGGAAAGTTTAGGGTTAGCTAAGGATTTTGGGATTAGTAATTAGGGTGGGAAATCGTGTCGGTCCTCAATCTCGTCGCGAAGAGGGATAATATATAATTATCATCCGACGTAGACTTGGGGGTTATTCCATTCGCGAAATCTTCCCAGGATGAACCGTCTGGCTGCGAGTGCCAGCACGCCTAAAAGAGGGATTCGCGAGGAATTTTATTTACGGGTTAGTGTTGGAAGGTCGGTGGGGGTGTTACGACCGACACCTCCCCGAATTGCCGTCTTAGGTTAAGTTATTTAGGGTTAGAGAGTCCACAAATCCCCGGGGGAAACAACCGGCAACGACCAGCAACGATAGTTAGGGTAATCGGGTTAATTATTAAAAATTCGATTCCCCCATGCAAATTTAAATGGGGAGAAATTAGCGCGTCAGGACAATTAGCGCCGTCGCGTTCAATCCACCGAAACTAACGTTCCGGCGAGACACGAGTTCCGCCATATTTTGGCAGTTATCGCCAGGTTGTAAGTGCCAACGGACGAGTTTTTCTTCAGAGAGAGGAAGAGAGGAAGAGTAGACAATGGGAGGATCCCGGAGATCAAATGCATCCCGTGGAAAGGTGAGGAAATTTCCTTAAATTCATCCCAGTAACACCGGTTACTGGAGATCGCATATTTAATTCGGTTCGCGAGTGCATTAATCCTGTTCGATCGACGGATCGAACAGTGTTTCCCTCTGTTGAGGTGTTCGCGAGTGTTTTCTCGGCCATATCCGAAAACCATGGCTGACCGCGTGTGGGGGATTATTCACCCTACAGGGCCGTCCCTGTGGAGGTTTTGGGGTATATCGCGCAAGGACACGTCTGAAAATGGAGGGGGAAACCGTCGTAAACCCCCGTGGAAACGTGAGGAATTTATTCGGGTAACCTTAAGGGGTGTCCATGCCGTCGAGGCTTCGCGTGTTTCCCCCCACTCCGCTCCGCTCAACGTTGAGCGTGAATTCCAGCACAACGGTGCTGAGAAAATCCCGTTTCCTTAAAACGGAGATATTGCGATCCCCTTGCATGGTGGAGTTCCCCAATTTTGGGAGGATGTTCGCGAATATTCCCCCTCACCGGTGGAGTTTATCCGATGCCGATCGGTGGAGGCATTGAGGCGTCGCAAATTTTTATCCGTCGGAAAATTTTCTAACGCGTGTCACGAGCGTTGGGCGTAGTGCGATCTCTCTCGCACATTATCTTCCATCTCTCTCGCTCTCCCGTAGCGCCTCTTCCAGGCTCTCCGAGGATTTCCTCGGCGATATTAAAATTTCACATGTAATTAATTTAATTCTTTTTTTTGGGGGA